ATTTTCTTTTCCCAGTTGAATTGCCAATCCTTATTCACCTTTATGTAATTCATACAGCCTCCTTTAACAGTGCTACACATTCCGTAGGCACAAAATCTTTTTAGATGAAATGATACAGCAAGACTAAGGTTTCCACAGAGTAGAGATCCAGAACACAGAGCGAGGTGAGCCCAGCGACCGACACTGTCGGAAACCACCCAGCCGGAGGGCCAGGAGGGTAAATGATCAGAAACAGACCTCTCTCCCTCGCCCCACCTGCAGTCAGCCCAGCAACCCGCGGTCTTCCCAACTTTCCCATAATGTAAATAGAAATCCTTTGACAGCCACTGGGTTAAAAAAATCAGACAAACATACTCCTTTCAGACTCTTCACAAGAGTTATTTGTTCCTACTCACATTTCTCCCGACGGTGTTTTGCTTTGGTTTTGGGCTTTGAGGCTTTAAATATACAGCGTCTGCTGCCATCCAGTGGTAATCTGAAGCAGATGCAGGCCATCAAATAGAAAATACATCCTGTGGTCATTTTGTCGATTGCTGGGTAACATATGAGTCAAGATTCCTAGCTAAGTGAGCTAAGAAAAGGCTTAATCTGTCACTTAAAATTCTGAACTGCAGAAAACAGTGTGGGCACAGCTGAGAGCCAGAGCTGGATTTGGGCTAAATACCCCATCCTGGTATTTACGAACTCTGTAACACTGGCCCATCGTGGGACTTCTCTAAACCTTAACTTCCTCTTCTATGAAATGTGAATGTTAATGGTACCATCCTTCCAGCTCCATCAGGATGATGCAATAAGAACATACGTAAGAGTTTGAAACAATAACTGACCTTTAATAAAAAGCCCTAGGGCACATCCTCCATGCATGGTGGAGATGATGGTGACGGACAGCCGTGGCTCTCAACTCCAGGCCCACCCCAATCGAATTAAGTCAGAACTCCCAGATACGCTGGCCCACTCTCCACATTCTAATTGAGCTGGTTCCACAGTGGAAAAGGGCGTGGGGCAGGGAGTTGATTAGCAGAGCAGCAGGATGGTTTAAAAGCTCCCCAGGTGATTCTAATAAAAGTCACTGCAATAAATAGCCCACAGAAATGCCATGTGTTCATTTGCAGGTCACTGTAGAGGTCATTTCTTCCAGTCTGTCAACAGCATTTATTGAATATTGGCTGTGGAAAGAGTACATGTAGGGATGAAAAAAAATCAACATGTTTCCTACCCCCATTTATGCAATCCAGATGGGAGCATGCAGTGGCAGAGGGCAAGTGGCATGGTGAACAGCTGTAGATTATAGCCTGGGAAGGAGACTTCTTGGCTCATGGGCCTTACAGCTGCTTTTTTAAGGGAACAGTCAAGAGAGAAAGGAGAGAAGTAGAGAGACTATGGGAAAGGAGGTTTGTTTTTTAGGGCTAGTTGTGTAAAGAGGCGAGGAGGGTGGCAATAAATTAGCTCTCCCTTTCCCCACTGCCTTCCTAGCTACACACACACACACAGAGAGAGAGAGACACGCACACACACACACACACACACACACACTCAGAGACAGAGGCACAACTTGGCTGAGGCACAACTCAGTAGACCTGACCCAACTTCCCAGTATGACCAGCGTTTATTCAGCTGTACACCCAATTCCCAATTATTTGCTTTACTACAAATGTGGTAAATTAGCCACAATAGTGGGGTTTTCTTGGTTTGGGGTTTATTTTTTAGGATTTTACTTTTCAGCATCTTTGCCATCTTGCTTTCATTTTGCATTAGGTACCTAAAACCTTTGCTTAAGATTTTTTGGGTTGTTTTTGAGACACAGTCTCACTCTGTCACCCAGGCTGGAGTGCAGTGGCGCAATCTTGGCTTAATGTAACCTCCACCTCCTGGGTTCAAGCGATTCTCCTGCCTCAGCCTCCCAAGTAGCTGGGACTACAGACACACGCCACCAGACCAGGCTAATTTTTGAATTTTTAGTAGAGACAGGATTTCACCATATTGGCCAGGCTGGTCTCAAACTTCTGACTTTGCAATCCGCCCACCCTGAACTCCCAAAGTGCTGGGATCACAGGTGTGAGCCACCGTGCCCAGCCTGCTTAAATTTTAATAATAGTAGCAATAGTAGCCACATATACTGAGTCCTGTGTTCTGTGCACTCTGAGTAGCTAAACTATAGATCAATGCACGCCCACCAACCAGAGTTGATCACACTTAATATTCTAATGTACTTCCTTTCAGTCTCACGTGTATACGCATGTGCACATGTGTGTAATTCCTTTTTATAAATACATTATTAGAGTCGATAGAAAGGTTGATATTAAAAATATATGCATGATATACTGTTTTAAAAAACACAAGTGGCACAATATGAACTATTTAATCAATTTGTTTTTAAACTAAACCTGTGTATGTTGTATACATACATAAATATAAAATGGGTCAGGTGTGGTGACTCATGCCTGTCATCCTAGCACTTTGGGAGGGCAAGGCAGGAGGATCGCTTGAGCCCAGGAGTTCGAGACCAACCTGGGCAACATAGTGAGACCCCTTCTCTACAAAAAAAAAAATCAAAAATTGGCTGGGTATGGCGGCATGTGCCTACAGTCCCAGCTCCTTGGGGGGCTGAAGTGGGAGGATCACTTGAGCTTGGGAGTTTGAAGCTGCAGTGAGCCGTGATCACACCATTGCACTCCAGCCTGGGCAATAGATTGAGACCCTTCTCAAAAATTAAAATAAAGTAAAATGTTTGGAAGGACAATATTTAAGCAGTAGCTCCCTCTGGGGAGAAGAAAAACTATAAGAGATCATATCAGAGATGAAAATAAGCTTTCACTTCAATTCTGTGCCCTTCTATAATGTTTGCATTTTTGCAATGAGCACATACATGTTTCATAAGTTTCTGAAATGATAGGAAGACTAGTCATGGCCCTAATAAATGAGTTAATATTTATTAACTCATCTCTATGAATACATGTATATGACAGATGTGAACATATAAGTTTGGTTGCACATGTAGTATACACACATATATAGTATACACATATATGGTGTGTATATACATACGAGTTACTTATGGTGTGTAGGACACATGTCATGTTGTGGTATGTGACGTGTATATAAATATGGCATGTGTATGCACACTCACACACGAAGTTACTGTTGGCTTATGTGTTACTAAATTCTGTAAAAATATATCAGACTTTCTATTGAAATATCAGGTTTTACCTTGGAACCTCCTAAAACATTTTACATATGGTAAAAGATTCTTGCTAACATTTTCCCAAAGTTGAAATGATGCAAAGTTTTACTTTGTATTTATCAATTCCCACTAAAATAGCAAATACATAAATATCTTACATAACCAGAAACTCTTCCACAGAGCATATTCTGATCTGAAAAATCTTTAGAAAGGGAATAATTAAGCTGGCATTTTATTTATTTGGCCTTTAAGTAATCTTTGAAACAAATCCCAAATTCTTAGCTCTGAACCCTCACCCAACATACTTCTTCAAATATTGTGATGACAAGTTTGGCAATAACTCTCGTGTTGCATTTTAGTTCATTTATGCTAAATTAAATTTGGATACAATTTTTTTAATCGTGTGAGGAGAGGATTCCTGTGCCTTGGTAAATAGCTCACTAATTTAAATATAGTATATTCAATGCAACACCATTCCAATATGACAGAAAATTGCAGTTATCCTTACTGAATGTGACACTTTAAGTGGTACACTTTAAATGGGTGAACTTTTGCCTTTTTGTTTTGTTTTATTTGTTTGTTTTTTGAGACAGGGTCTTGCTGTGTTGCCCAGGCTGGATTACAGTGGCATGATCACAGCTCACTGCCCCTTCAAACTCCCGGGCTCAAGCAATCCCCCCAGTTCAGCCTCCCCAGCAGCCAGACTGCAGGCATGTGCCACCATGCCCAGCTAATTTTTGTATTTTTTTGTAGAGATGGGGTCTTGCTGTGTTGCCCAGGCTGGTCTCAAACTCAAGGACTCAAGTGATCCTCCTGTTTTGGCTTGCCAAAGTTCTGGAATTACAGGCATGAGCCACCGTGCCTTGTCAGCTGAACTTTTGAATACATAGAAACAGAGAGTAGAACTGTTGTTACCAGAGGCAAGTAAGACAGGATCAAGGGTTCAAAGCGGCAGTTAGCTAGGGTGAGTAAGTCTACAGCTGCAATGTACAGCATGATAACTATAGTTAATAATACTACATTGCATACTGGGAATATGCTAAGAGAGAAGACTTCTGGTCCTCTGACCATAAAATGTATGTTTAAAGGTAAGCTGTAAGGAGATTAATATGTTAATTTGTTTCACTGCAGCATGTATATGTGTATCAAACACCTTATTGTACACCTTAAATGTATACTATTTAAAAATAATAAACGGGTGAACTTTATGGTATGTAAGTTACATCTCAATAAAACTGTTAAAAATATTAAGTTCATCTTAAGAAGGGGCAATACTAAAAGGCCGGATGCAGTGGCACATGCCTATAATCCCAGCACTTTGTAATCCCAGTAATCCACCCATCTCAGCGGGCAGATCACCTGAGGTCGGGAGTTCAAGACCAGCCTGACCAACATGGAGAAACCCCTTCTCTACTAAAAATACAAAATTAGCCGAGCATGGTGGTACATGCCTGTAATCCCAGGGAGGCTGAGGCAGGAGAATCATTTGACCCTGGGAGGCAGAGGTTGCAGTGAGCTGTGATTGCACCATTACACTCCAGCCTGGGCAACAAGAAGAAAACTCCATCTCAAAAAAAATAAAAATAAAAAATAAGAAGGGGCAATACAGCAATACATAATCTCTGTATGCAAAAAGAAGGTATTTTTCTGACTGATGGCTCTTTTAGTTCTAGTAGAGAGAGAACTACCAGATTCTAGGGTAGGGGAAGAAACAGGATCCCAGTGTGCTATAGTGGGATCTTACCTGCAATCTGACTGTGGAACCATATGGGACACCCCTGACACAGGCTGTACAAACCCTTGTCTGCTCTTCCCACAGGAGGACTACAACCAGCTGAGGCCACTCTCCTACCCCAACACGGATGTGTTTTTGATCTGCTTCTCCGTCGTAAATCCTGCCTCTTACCACAATGTCCAGGAGGAATGGGTCCCCGAGCTCAAGGACTGCATGCCTCACGTGCCTTATGTCCTCATAGGGACCCAGGTTAAAATGCGGGTGATGGCAGGGTGGGGCGGGCTGCAAAAACGGGAAGATGCTTTAGGTGCCTCATGAACATCCTATTCTGCCAAACACTATCTAAGAGTGTCTCAGACCTTTCAGTCCTACGCACAGAAGTTCTTAAAGTGTGCCTGATGATTAAGCCGATAGTGGAAAAGATAATAGAGCCATTTAATATGGAGTTTTGATATAGCCTTCAAAAATTAATCTCTCGGGTTTCTTGAATAACAAAGTAATTTTTAAAACAGACACCCTCCAGCAGGCTCAAATCAGAGCTATAAGGTGAGGGTGTCAATTGAACATACTACCTAATATTTTTTATATCTGAAATCCACAGTTGTTTTAAAATCACAAAACAGGGCCAGGTGTGGTGTGGTGGCTCACACCTGTAATCCCAGCACTTTGGGAGGCTGAGACAGGCAGATCACGATGTCAGGAGATGGAGACCATCCTGGCTAACAGAGTGAAACCCCATCTCTACTAAAAATACAAAAAGTAGCCAGGCGTGGTGGCACGTGCCTACAGTCCCAGCTACTCTGGAGGCTGAGGCAAGAGAATTGCTTGAACCTGGGCGGTGGTGGTTGCAGTAAGCCGAGATCAGGCCACTGCACTCCAGCCTGGGTGACAGAGTGAGACTTTGTCTCAAAAAAAAAAAAAAAATTAACAAAATAGGTAGGAGTGTCAAGGTGACCCCAGCCATCAGAATGGGCATAATCTGACAGGAACTCTTAAATTACACTTCTGGAGAAGGAAGATAAAAAGTCATGATTGTCTATTCCCTTTAAACCTCTTGGTCTTAGAGAAGAAGTTAAAACACATACCAGATAAACAAACCTACGATTGTGAAAGCTTTTACTGTGTTCTGAAAGATAATAATTTCATCCTTTTAATTTCCAGTAGTAAGCCAATCACATTAAATGTATTAAAGATTGTTACTGTTTATCGTTTTAAATGGATTTTGTTCTTTGACATTTTAAAATCCAAATTACTATCCCAAAGACATAGGAAAGCACTAATACTGGAGGTCTTCATTGTTATCTGCTTTATATGCTATTTCTATTATTCATTTATGTTCTGTTTGAACAAGAGAATTGTTTAACATAAAGGAAAGAAAAGAAAAATATTTCCTAAAGATGTGGACAGGTATTTACTTAGAGACATATATTTACTTAGAGACAAAATAGAGGAATATACATATCCATAAATCAGAGTAATCATAGTTAATGCTTCTGCTCTGAAAGGTAATTATTTAAACAAAGTCTTTTGCCTTGAATTCCCGATAATAATTTTTGCCCATATTGACGGAGCCTGAATCCCTGCTGCCAAAATATGTGACAGGACATTCAATCACCTTTCTCTGAATTGAGCTGATTTTTATTACACATAGGCACAAAAATGAAGAATTATAACACACACACACACACACAAAATCAGTAGAGCTGAGTAATGTGCTTATAAATGGGACCCTAATATCCTGGCCTTTCTTTAAGACACAAGCAAGCCCTTGTGTTCCCACATTCGCACCCATTCATGTGGACATGGGTTCACATACACAGTGAGGTTTTAGAGCAACCAAAATATTTAATTAAATTATCAAATCTAATCCAGATATATAAATGCTATCTTCAAAGTTCTACCTTTGAAAAGATTAATTCTTATCTTGAGCAAACCCTTTGAAAATTTCTGTTAGGGGCTTGTCTTCCAGAACTTGCAGCGCATTTGTTAGAATATCCCCACAGGTAGCAAATCTTCATACCTCTTTTGAGGATGAAGATTTTTATATGGAAAAGCAAAAAAAAAAAAAAATTATGTGTTCAAAGCCAGGGAATAATCTAGTAAATAACGAGTAATATAATTTGGGATCAAATAAGGCATCACTGTAAGGTAATGAGACTGATTGGTTATCTTGCATGCCCTGTAACTAGAATCTGGAAATAAATAGAAAATTTTGAAAAAATGTCTGAGATAGCAACAGAATCATCTGCGTAAGTCTTCTGCTCACAGGGTAACTGAAGGGGAAAACATAAGGAAAGTCTGTTGTGTACATTTACAAAGAAATTGCTTTACTTTTTTAGACATAACATAGGCATGCGTATGTGCTTCCTTCAAGAAAATTTAGCAACTTCAAAGATGTTAACAGGGAAAAAGACTCTATGATATCACAGTTTAAAATATCTGGCAGGGCCTGAGAAAATAAATAGGTTTATCATGTGTGTTTTCTTGCCAGATTGATCTCCGTGATGACCCAAAAACCTTGGCCCGTTTGCTGTATATGAAAGAGAAACCTCTCACTTACGAGCATGGTGTGAAGCTTGCAAAAGCGGTACAGTCAGATTTGAACTGAATTTTAAATGTATGCTGAGAGAAGAGTGTGTTGTATGCTTTGGAATGGGTGTGCAACACTGGGTTTTGCTTTAAAGTGCAATGTGTCTAGAATCTTCTCTAAGCGTTCTATCCCCCACTCTGTTCTAGTCGGGCTGGAAGGGGCCATTTGGTTAGCCTTCTTGTCAGCCAGCATTGTCTGTTTTTCATTAAGAAAGCAATTTGGTGAATTTAAACAGCTGAAGCACTTATCATTTGATTTAGCGACCTCTAGAACATCTACTTGCCATATTTAGTATGAATAAAGGGAGTCGTTAGATATATATTTGTAAATCTTACTGCTTATTATGGATGTAACTCATTTAAATAACCCCATAAGAGGCAATTTGTGATTTTCTTGGGAGAGACTTGGGTTAGCATCTGGCAGGGTTATATTTGTCCCATATTTCTCACCATATAATGAATAGCCACTTAGAGAGCCTGGATTGTGTCACAAACAGCATCTGGAAGGATAACATACCAAAAAGTGACTAGTTGGGGATCTAAGTGGCTCTTTGGCAGATAATAGCAATTTGCTCAGAGCTGGAACTGTTTTCATGGACCTTTCTTCCTTCTTGAGAGGTTAACATGAAGAGTTAGGAAAATGTTTTGGAAAGTATTTGCCAGACACCACATCTTTGCCTCCCCCATTACCCTGAGATGTGAGCAAAGCAGCCATACAAGAGGATGGAAGTGCTTTATGCGAGAGGAGGCCTGTAGAGCACATCTCCAGAACTTAAATCTGATTCCTCATCAAGTCATAAATCTATTGACCCAGATCAGAGGCTTGAAAATTTTCCCTCTTACTTTCTAAGTGAGTAACTTAGTAAAAATTCATACCCCAGGCAGAGTCAGAAGTCACCTCTTCAAGCCAGTCAAGAATATTAACCACAAAGTTTTCACTTACAAAAATGTATGTATTTATCTTACTAAAACTTGCTTGTAGGCACTAAAACTAAGCATGATACACTCGACTGGAAATGAATTAAGTACAATTAGAATTAAATACAGTTATGTTTTTACAGGTAAATGCATGAGAACATCTCACAAAAGCCTGATTGAGATACTGAACTCTTCCTACTTGTAAGCACAGTAATATCAATACTGTGACATACCCAGCCCTTCATGGAGCTCTTAGGATCCTAAGTACTTTATAATGTCTCATTTCGGCCTCATGATAACCCTCTGAAGCAGATAGTGTTGGTCTCAGCTTACAGATGAGGAAACGGTCTGAGACAAGCACATTTGATCCACATGGCTAATAACACAGTCAAAAACTTCCAATGCAGGGACTCCATGTTTGGGTCCCCTTCCACAAACGCTCTCGCGGAAGCCATCTTTCTCTCCCCTGGATTTCCCCTCTGAAGTCCCCTTCCACACTCTCTAGTGGAAGCCTGTCTTCCCCTCCTAAACTCCATCTCTCTCTATTCCCTTCCACTCAGTGTGGAAGGTGCCTTCCCCTCCTGGATTCCATCTTTCTGGATTCTCTTACTCAGCGTGAGTATTAGCTGTTTCTTTCTCTCTCCTTCTCCTTTTTCTCTCTCTAAATAAATCACTTTCTAAAAAACAAAAAAAAACTTCCAATCCAACTCTGTGGACCTCACCATCTGCTTACCTAACCATTGTGGAAATGTAAATGACCTCCAACTGTATACCTTACCCCAGGTGAAATGGGTATATGCCTGTAGGTTCTTCTGCCTTCTCAAACATTCAGCCTCAAATGTTCTCATTAAGATACCTAAATATGTAGCCCCATAAAGAATTGTATGTGGTTCCTTTCTACACGTTTTTCACAGCCAAGAGGTCCGCATCGGCTAGCACCAGCTTCTTGCAGGAACTCTTTTTCTGTGTTCCTTCACGCTGTCAGCTTCCTAGCCTCACTTCTCATTAGAGAAGTTGTTTTTTTCCCCTCTGAAAAGAAGCCGTTCCAAAGCCTCCCATCTCATTTCATACTTATTTTCGGAACAATGGCTGAGTTCACCATTTATATTGCCTTTTGCTGCTTTCTCCTAGCAACTGCTCTCAGAGACAGAGGGAATCATGTTTAGCTTACAAAATCCAATATAGAAGAAAACCTAGCAAGATTTTAACTTGTTTTATCACAATTCATGTAATTATAGAGATGCTTTAAGTTTCTCTACTCTCTGACTTTTCTGTCAAGTAGTTTATAATCACATTTAGCATTTATGGAGTGTTTATAATGTGCTAGGCTGGGTGCCAGGCGCCTTACAGGCTTTGTCTTAATTAATCCTCACAGCAACTCCCTGAGGTGTGTATACTATTATCTCCACTTTTCTACAGGAAACTGAGGCTCGGAGAGGTTAAGATCGCCCAGCTAGAAAGTGGCAGAGTGAGGATATAAAACTGCTTTAACCACCCGCTCTTCTGCCTCCCTCCTGTAATCTGAAAAGAAACCTTAAGGGTGGGGCTTCTTTTTTATATACTGGGGTCCCTTATTTTTATGTGCAAAGCTCCCTGAAACTTAAAGGCTTTGCAAGTTCAGATTTTTCATGTCTGATTATTTCTGTTCAATACTTTTCAATTTCCAAAGCATTTTTCATCAATCATCTCTTTTTGGTCTCAAAAGGTGTTTTATTTTTAAAGGACATTTTTCTATCAGACATATTTACAATTCTTTATACTCCAAAGTCAACCATATTTACATAGTGTGCATTAATTTATCATAAATATTCATTATTCTTTTACTTGTTTTATCCTCCCTCTTCTTTTTATTACTGTAGTTTTTCATCCTCAGCCTACTTTTCCCATTCTTCTACACATTTGTAACTGTCCATATTGCTGCTAGATTTATTAAACAACAATTGATTGAACACCCAATAGGTGCCAGGTGCTATGCCGGGTGCTACACTTTGTAGCTCTAAGATTATAATTCTTTGTGCATTCTCTTCCCCAATTCCATCTAATACAGTCTAAGCATGATCTTCCAAGTTCAGACTTCCTAAGGTATTTTTTGATACAGGAATTTGCAATTTTTCCTTTTTAATCTCTGGGTTCTCTTTGTTCTCTCCTACCATCTTGTTCACCCTGTGCCTTTTGTTGTCACTCTTTAACTTAGCATCTGCGAAGTTTCCTGCTGGGGTTGTTACACGCACAGGTGAGATTTAAAGCAGCAAAATTGCTGCAAACATCCTGTCATCAATCAGTCAACTGGAGTGTTCAATGCCCTCCTCCTGACTGGAAGAGTCACTGCCACCTGCCTTGTGCTGGCCATTTTTCCTTTGTCTCCTGGTCATTGAAAGTCACTTCACCGCTGGTATCTGGGTTACAAAGGCCAGAAGAGGAGGGAGACAGGCAAACAAAAGCATGCCACCTGGATGAACCCAGTAACAGCTGGGCAATGTACCAGGTAGCACAGTAATACATTCAGAGAAGGAGCTTTCAGAGATTTCTTGAGCCAGTTAACATCTCAGCCAGGTTTGAAGGATGAGGAAAAGTTTTTCAGGTGAATAAAGGGGTCTAGGGAGGGCACAAAATTCCAGGCAGGGAGACCAGGACATGCAAAGGCATCCTTTAAAGCATAGGGAGCAAATTGGCAACTGACTGGCCAAATTTCACCCCCACAAATATTTTGATTGGTCCAAACAGATTTTTTTTTTCAGATGGAGTTTCCCTCTTGTTGCCCGGGCTGGAGTGCAATGGTGCGATCTCAGCTCACCGCAACCTCCACCTCCCAGGTTCAAGGGATTCTCCTGCCTCAGCCTCCCGAGTAACTGGGATCATAAGCATGTGCCACCACGCCCGGATGATTTTGTATTTTTAGCAGAGTTGGGGTTTGTCCATGTTGGTCAGGCTGGTCTCGAACTCCTGACCTCAGGTGATCCACCTGCCTCAGCCTTCCAAAGTGCTGGAATTACAGGTGTGAGCCACCACACCCGGCCCAAACAGATATTTTTAATGCAATTTAGTGGCCTACATTTAACAGTTTGGAAACACATTTCTAGCTTCTAAAAAAATTCAGGTCGAGCAACTCTAGGCCAGCATTTCCTCATCAACAGAAACTTTTAATAGCTTACTATATCCATAACAACTTCGCCCTTGTGTTCACTGATTTTGCTCTTTCAGCCACAATTTCTTTACATTTGCCAGAGACAGCCCAAAAGAATAGAATAAGACTTTGGCTCAGGAGGCAGACAAATTCGAATCTCTGCCGTTTTCTTAGTTGTGTGGCTGTAATGGGGGTTACTTAGCCTCTCTGGGCATCAGTTTCCTGAGCTGTGAAATGAAGATGGTGATAGACTTTTCCTTGCACAGTTCTTGTGACAATGAAATTAGCTCATGTACCACTAGGTCCAGCTCAGCAAACTACAGTTGGTGTTAAATCCATGAGCCCTCTCAGACATGGCTACAGCTGGGAAGATCTCTTTGCCTTGATCCCTTCCAGTTACTTTCTGTCTTATTCCATAACTTGTCCTGGCCCCCAGTGGAACAACGTGGAAGAAGTACTAGGTTTTCTTTTACTTGATTAGTCATTACGTTTGTTTTTTTTTAATTTCTTGTCAGACTCTTGTATCTTCTGTACATTGCTGACAAATTTCCCTGCTTCTGAGATAATCAGTGTTAGCTATCATAAAAGAATCAAAAAAGTGTTTTTTCAGTTTATATCCTCAATCTCTACTTTTTTCTTGAAAATAAGTCATTTGGGTAGAACACTTTCCAGATTGCTTGCATGTGTATCTGAACAAGGAGCCTCGAATCCTGAACCCTCCCAGATGGCTTCTAAATACTTGACTGTGTAGGTCATTTTGCTCCAAGGAGCAGAGATGAAGTTGCCGCTGTAAGAAGAGCCACATTTCCTCGAGACCATTTTTCATTTCCCATCTTTGAGGGCACAGAAAATGTTTTTAGCAATCTGGCTGTGCTTTTTCCCTGAACCAGGATGAATTCTTCTCTGACCATTAGAGAACTCGACACATGGTAACAATACCTACCTCATAACTGGGTTCTGTTTCTTCACACATGTTTCCCAAATCACAACCATAATCCGATGACTACTTTTTCTATCAGCACAACATAATGTTATATTAACCCAGTTACACAATAATGCCTTTATCTGCTATTTTAGTATCTTCAGAAATGTCTGAATTGGAAGAGACAAGTTTGGGCTCCTCCTGCTTCGTCGAAAGGCAAAGCCTGACATGCTGTCAGCAGCACTCTGTGGGGAGGAGGGGGAGTGCCCTGCTTCTCCTGCTGGACTCCAGGTGTGAACGAACGAGCTCAGCCCAGCTGTCCCAGAATTCCAGGCAGAATCAGTCCTAGGCTTGGGATCCTTAGTGGAGAGGTATTCCAGACAGAAAGGTGCCACAGCACTTTCTAGGTATTTTTTCAGCACGATTGACAAGCGCCATCACATTACAGTCAAATCAGAGTCACTCAGTTGGCAACGCCGTGTGCCGTTAGATGAGCGTGCTTTTCACATGTGTTTGAATCAAGCATTGAATACAATCCCAAAACGCAACAGAAGGCATTTCATCATGTTATTAGGAAATTTTTCTCTGTCCTTTATTCTTCTCTTGTCTCTAACTGTTTTCAATTATTTTTAAAAGTTATTTCCTAATCTGAAAACCAAACCATGGTCAAAATGAAAGCCGTAAAATAGATTTTCAACATCCAACATCTTTTGGCATTTTCCTTCGGCTAATACAGTAACCACTCTTCTCAGGAAAAAAAATGTAAAGTACATAATCTCTGTCGGAGAGGTTAGGAAATAGTCTCTGGGCCCAACCAAAACAACTCTATTTGATGCTTAGTTTTTGTTATCTGTGGCCTTTGAAATAAGTAGACAACCTCATTTCATCAAATGTCAACTTGACCAGTTTCTTGCAGAGCTGAGTGATAGGGGTCACAGCTACTGTCACAGAGCAAGGAAAAGAACATGTATCAAGAGACCCAGATTCTAGGTCTGTTTCTTTCACTTTCTGGTTGTGCCCATAAGCAATTCATTTTACCTCTCTGGGGTTATTCCCACTCCGTTGTAAGCTAAAGCACAAGTGTAGTTAGTCCACACACTGCAAACTGGCTGGCTGCTGCCAAACATATCCCACATTGTGTCTTGCTTGGCCCATGGTAAATATTTTATAAATTGATAAATATTAAATTTAAAAATCCAAATTTCCAACTCCTCTTGAAAAATACAAAAATGGGCAACAGTGAACCAACATTACCACTTGGAAGCTGAGTAAGACTGCACACTCTGGAGGCGGTGTGCATGTTACAAGCCACCACAGTCCCCACCTCTATATATTCTCTTGCACCAGCCCCACTTTATCATTTACAGAAGCTAGGGGAGAGGATAGGCCTATGATTTTGCTACCTTGTTTTAGCCATTTGTCTGCTTGGCTTTCCGAGAACTCACCATGTAGCCAAACTCTTCTGAATCTGCTTTAATTTTTCAAAGTTTTTCTTAAAATGTAAATCAAAAAATAAAGTCATTTCTCCAGGTGTCCTTAATAGTAAAGTGCCAACATCACACTGATGACTCTTCCTGAGCTTATGAACAATTAAAATCTCAGGTCTCCTTCACAAGAAGCTGACTGCCAAATATGGTCTGTACTGGTCTGTGATTTTTAGATGAGAATCTATGGTTCTGGCCTGAATTTGTGTATTTCTCAGGAGGGGTTTGTGATTATCAAACACACCATAGTGTAAAATCATCCAAATATTTAAAATGAAGTTCTATGCAAGTATGAAATACTTTATCATTTAAACATATAGACTGTACACTGACAAGAAAGATGCCTTTGGCAGTAAATGTATTTTATGATTATTGTTATATGTTTTATTGTTCTTGTTACATGTTTTAGTGTTATTGTTACATGTTTTAGTGGGGTTTGCATAACCTTTTAAAAAATATGCCTTTTAAAGTATGTTAAGGCTGGGCGTGGTGGCTCATGCCTGTAATCCCAGCACTTTGAAAGGCTGAGGCAGGAGGATCAGCTGAGGTCAGGAGTTCGAGATCAGCCTGGCCAACATGGGAAAACCCCATCTCTACTAAAAATACGAACACTAACCCAGCACAGTGGTGCATGCCTGTAATCCCAGCAACTCGAGAAGCTGAGGCAGGAGAATCACTTGAACCCAGGAGGTAGAGGAGGTAGAGGTTGCGGTGAGCCAAGGTGGCGCTACTGCACTCCAGCCTGGGCGACAAGAGTGGAACTCCATCTCAAAAATAAATAAATAAATAAATAAAGTATGTTAAAACTAAAACTAAACAATCATGCCAATCAGATGTTATTTTATTGAGGGATACCTTAAAAGAGGTACAGTTTAATCAAGAATGACCTATAAAACCATTATCACTCACTCTCTAGCTGCTTTATCAACCAAGCTGACACTTTGCCTTTTAGCATACCAAAGGAGATACATTTCACTTGTACATGATTTACACGTTCTGCCTACAAATGAGAGAATACGAAAAACAAGATCATGCAGCCCTGTTCTTCACAAAACATATTTAAATTATATCATTGGTTTTGAACTCTCTCCTAATTCTTTAGATCTTCGTATTTTTTATATTATTAGGAATAAATGGCTAGGGATCAATTTCATGATTCACTGCTTTCCAGAAGTGATCCACAACCATTTATTGCTAATAAATGAATGTAAAAAATACAAAAATACAATAAAATAGGATGACAGGTACAAATTGAAATGCAAAAAAAAAAGAAAAAAGGACCAACATAATCCAAAGCACCCCACAGGCTGTTTGTAGGACAGGCAGAAGTAAGTGTTTGGCTGGGCAGTGGGCTGATACCACCATGCTCTTCTCTCTTTCTTTCCTCTCATGCCTCTGTCTCTTTTGTGTTTAAGATCGGAGCACAGTGCTACTTGGAATGCTCGGCTCTGACTCAGAAAGGTCTCAAAGCGGTTTTTGATGAAGCCATCCTCACCATTTTCCACCCCAAGAAAAAGAAGAAACGCTGTTCTGAGGGTCACAGCTGCTGTTCAATTATCTGAGGTTGTCTGAGACCTGCCTCCACCCCGTCCAGGGGTGAGAATGGCGCCGATCTCTGCGGCCAAGCTCCAGCCAAAAAGGAGGGCATGACCAGAAGGGAATTCCCTTTGCACGGAGGCCTGCCCCGCCACCCTGTGAGCCCTCCCAACACCACACACTCGTCAGCCCACTGCCATGACCTCCCTGCCAGCCAGAAGCATCCGTACTGCACACTCTCTGAGAATGCTGGACCTGGATTGCAGACAGCGCCACTGCTGACCATATCAGAAACAAAGTCAAAGGCCTTCTTACATTTTACATCTCCCCAGCTCATGAATGTGAAGCTGATAGGAAACCACCCCAGGGAACCTGAAAAAGAAACTTGGTTCCTCTATTGGTGGCCTTACTTGATGTCTTTTGCAAAACTTGGGACTACAACGCTAACCTTTTTTTTTTTTTTTTTTCTGAATCTGCTGTTCTACCCACATTAATTTGTATTATTTCAAGAAATGTACTAATTTCCAGTTTACTCAGGCCTTACAAATCCATACCAAATTAGCCTAAAGACAAGGCGTTTTATATTCATTTCTATTTTCAGCGTGTTTCTACCAAAGCTATGAGAACCAACACATACCTCTGAATGCCTGATTGTAAGAAGACATGAGAAGACTTTAAAACTTTTGGAAATTTACAGAGCCATGATTTTTGAACCGGATTGAAAGAAAGCCATCTGAATTGCTGCAGGTCCACATTTTTGCCAAAGACGCACTCTAAAAATGCTTATTAGTGGCCTGACTTTTTTCCATATTATATTGCCGTGACAAACTAAAAATGAACTGTGTTTAAGAATGTAGTATTTCTGGTTTTCATCCAAGTTGATTGGGGGAAGAATATGCAGGATCCATCTTTTACAGTACTGTATATTCAGTAAAGTGGATGTTCCTGCTCCTCCCTTTCCCCATTGCATGCCTTCTTCCCCCCTTGATTTCACTTTCTCTCATGCCCAGATCCTTTTGTTCTCTCCAATTATAACCCAGTTATAAAAGAAAGATCTGAGCATAAAAACACATGTTTAACAGTATCTAAAAGTTAAGGAATGTGCCTTAATTTTTCTATTTGCTTCAGCCAAAAGTGCTTCTCAGCTTGCCTCATATAAGTTCTCATTTCATTCCATGTAAATGACATTTTCCAGTTACAACTGGTACTGAGATATTGTCTCTCTCTTTCCTTACTCGTCCTCCCAAATGTCTATTTGGGAGCCATATCCGTGGATACCAAGCTCTGTATCCATTTGTCCCCTGCCCTCCACAATGTGTGACATAGAACAGGGACTTGGCCCTGGGAAAGCAAAAGCTCCCAGTAAGGAATCCTGTGCCCAGTTATGTGAAACAATTCGAAACATCTAGGAATTTTTGTATCATAGAGCAAATTACTTCCTACCTTGTCATTAGAGGCTATGAGGGCTTCTAATTAGTCTTAGTTGCTTATAAGTGCCCTGAAATCACCCAAGTAGGCACTTAATTTTTTTTCAATTGCATGAGCAAAGTGCTTCTTAGTGGTATGAAATTACAACAATTTTAGTTTAAGACTTTCCAGATTCAAGCTCCCACTGTTGGAAAAAGGCAGTCTTTCTAATCTCTTCTGCTACTGGAGTAAGCACATGAGAATTACAGGCTAGCCAGGCACAGTGGCCCACACCTCTAATCCCAATACCTTGGGAGGCTGAGGTGAGTGGATCGCTTGAGCTCAGGAGTTCAAGACCAGCCTGGGTAATATAGTGAAACTCTGTGTCTCTATAAAAAATTAAAAATTATCCAGGTGTGGTGACACACACCCGTAGTCCCAGCTACACAGGAGGCTGAGGTGGAAGGATCATTTGAGCCCAGAAGGTAAGGCTGCAGTCAGCAGTGACTGTGCCACTCTACTCCAGTCTGGGTGACAGAGCAAGAACCTGTCTCCAAAAAAAAAAAAAACACCTACATTTTAAGTACTATTTCCCTTCTTTCCCACGTAATTGCTAAACATTTTCTTTCATACGCACACACTCCACTGACTAGAAAACGGGAGTTTTAAGTCAAAGCTTGACATTTAGAGAAAACAAGGACTTTCTGCCTTTATAAATGAAAATCAACTGTGTATAAACTATAATTCCGCAGAGGTTATGAATTCATCCTTTACAAGCAATAACGAGCTTTTAGTCCTGTAATAAAAGAAATGTTATTAGGCAGCTTTGTTGCATGATTGCATAGTTACAGCTTGCTAACGGGCCACTCATTTCTCATTGATGTGGGTGAAAAATTGAAAGCAGTATGCTTCCAGGTATGTGCACTCAACAGGCAAATAGCTCCCCAGGTCACCGCTTCCCTAATGGGCCACAGAAAGTAACTTGATCGTGATGGCGAGATCACACTCTCACCTAGAACCAGCAACAGGATGGAGACTGTTGTCAGTGTCTGCATGAAGCACAGGCTCCCAGGGGTCTTAGGAGCTTACTGAATAAAACAATCTAGAACAAAGCAACCTAAATGAGTTAATGTCATTCTGCCAAATGAATCAGTTATTCCTTGTTCCACGGCAAGATCCAGTTTGTTTCACTAAAAAGTGTTTTCTGCTACAAGATTAAACTGTCTTCTGAGACCAAAGATAAGGAGAGACATAGAAATTTGAAGAAGGATCCTTTAATGGCCCACACCATCTTTCGAAGTCAAGAAGTGGCAGCTGATATCCATTTGAAAGTAGAGTCCTAACTTTTCAGAGCTAGACAAAGCCTCAGAAACTATAGTTCAATTCCTCATTGTACCATTGAGAAAGTCAGGCCTAGATGGGTAAAGTGAGCTGTGTTGCAGCAGTGCTGGGACAGATCCCAGTTTTTCTGCTTCCTATACAATGCTCTTCAACTCAGTACTACAGTGTGTTCGTTATCACACATATCAAGCTGGAGTTCTGTATGTTATTGGAGTTGCAGCTGTTTATTCTATAGATTCCAGCCACATTTTAAACTCAAAACTTCATGTAGTTAGGCCACTAAAAATAAAGTAATCCATCAAACCAGTAATACACTGGAGAATTTGACCTACACACTAAGATACTGGAAATCCACAGTGTATGGCAATTTAACCGCCATCTAATAATGACTCAATCATGTAGCTATTTACACATATTTATTTCACTCAAATGGTTGGTTGTTTGGTAGAATGAATGGACTCCTTGGGCTATTTGGGGAACACAAAAGGACTAGGACACAAGTCAAAGTCACGTCCACGGTAAGAAATCCGGGCTGATTTCTGCCAAGGAAAGTTACAAAGAATAATTACTTGGTCACGTGGGGAAATTTCGACATAAAAGAAGTAATGGATAAAAGAAAGAAAAAAGAGCAATTGCTGAAGACGGTAACTACAGCATCCCTACACCAGAAAGCACTAAGCCAGGAAGTCAAAAACTAAGTCATACATATATGACAAGGTGTGGGGGTTGGTCCTGAGGCTTCAGTGAGAACACGTCCAATCAGGATATGCGAAGAGCCATTTGGACAATTTCTAGTTCATAAGAGAAGTACCAAAGAAAGTGGATGTGACCATACACAATTTGCACAGGACCCCCAAGAAGGAAGTAGTATTACATGGTAGTAAAAAAGCAATCACAACTACACTCACAATTTTAGGAGAAAATAAAACTAAATCCAGAATTTGATGCCAACAAAAAAATGTCATTATTTAGGGTCAAGTTCCTGTGAACACTACCTTCCAAAGTAGAATATCTTCAGGAAGAAATATTTGACTTGAGTTAAGGCTTTCAAGATTGCTGTTTTGCATTCATAAAGGCAAACTTGTCCTTGAGGCCAAAGTGACAGAAGATTAGAAATTGAGGCTCTGCTTTAAAGAAATGTTGACATCATGCTGGAAATTATTATCCAGCTACTTACACGTTCATTTTTAAACCCATCTCTATGTTTAGCTGCCAAAATGCAAACCGCGCATTCTCTCTCAACAGAGAGTGCCACAGGTCACCAGATATTATTCTCGCAGGAGTCATTGAGTAGGCTGTCCAAGTACAAATAAGGGAGCTCAACAAACTATTTTCATTTCAAGGACCATTAGAAACAGAAAGGAAAAGAAAAGGTCAGGGAAACTTAGTTTCTAAGGAAGGAAGTGAGGCACTTTGGAAAAGAAAATATTTAGAGAATGGAGAGGAAGCTAAAACCAAACACAGCCGAAACACATAGCTGACAGTTCTTCCGGGAAGTTGGTAACTCCTGCCTGGCCTCTAGAAGCACAGGGAAGAAAGGACTGTTAGCATGAAGAACACTCTGTGGTTCTGTGTATCCAAGCAGAGTCAGTCAATGGGGCTAACCATATGATAACCCTGAGTAATTCCACCTCACAGTTCACTAAAAAACGAGTGGAATCTTGGGCAAAGCCCTTTGGGTCTTTAATAGCAATGAAGGACATCACCCTCTCCCTTTCTCTGCTTATACATACACAGCAGGCAGTCAAGGAAAACTTGCCAAGAAATATGAGTGAATAAATGATTTTGAAAGTTTCATTGAGCAGGAACGTGAAGAGAATGATTTGGGGATAGCTGGAAGGATAGTTACTTGTATGAATAATACTAATTCATCTTCAGTGAGATATTTCTAAATAGAAAAAAAAATTGTATTTAAAATGTACAACCATAATAACAGAAAAAAAATACAAGATAAAGCAACAGTTCACGGTGCCGCAATGGTCGACAAAGACCAGAAAGGAAATTAAAGCACACGTTCTACTCAGCAGCACGTTAGCCCTCTGAAGCTCAGCCGGGCTATTTGGGAGATCTCCTCGCGCTAGGGGAGGAATGAGTCAAAGAGGGCTTGGCTTCTCTGCGAAATGGTGAGCTCCAAGTTCAACAATAGTTCTTGGCTTTGAAATTCCACTACAGGAAATTAGAGTAAAATCTGCACCATTCATCTTGGTCACAGTCTATTTTTTTCTCCTTAGAGGATATTATGTCAAAAAACTAGGGTTGCTTCAGTGTGTGCCTGTGTTTTAAATATGTTCTACTTTGATAATTTCATTTTGTTCTATGAGTTCTGCGGTGACTCAGAACTCCGTGATACTATAACTAGAGTAATGTTGTTGTATTTTTAGCCATGTCCTCGAAGCCTCCCAGTATATGCAGGGGTATCTACCGAACAGAATCTGATCAGTGTTATAGGGAAAATGATGTCTAAGGCTCTACAAGGAGAGGGTCCCCAGGGCCCACACCTGAGTTGTGCCTTGAAGCAACCTTAGCACACTTAGCCTCCCACTGCCTCTGTGCAAGTCAATCTTCTGAGCTTATGTTAGTTCTTTGGGGGAAAAAAAATAGAAACAACTTCTGAATAGGGCAGTATGTTTGGGGCTGCTTTGTGAACACATATCTAAAATTACCTCCATTTGCCATTTTTTAAATCAATTTTTTTCAAGCAATCAGATTCTTTTCTCCTAGAGGAGCTGTGGGCAAGAAAGCTAATGAATTCTACATCCTTCTCGTCACCTGGTTTAAATTGTTTTCTGCTCTGAGTAAACAGTAATTACTGCTGAAGTACATTTCAGCAGAATTTCATCCCAATTGCAACAGTCATGTTCCTCCCAATGTAATCTCTGCAGAGGAAATGATCGTCAAGGGAAGTAGGCTGACCTGCTCACGGGATGGCCTTCTTACAATCTGTACCTTATGTAATGGCCATTCTGTGTGCCTGTGTCATTAATGGAATATTATTTTATGCATTCTTTAACATTACAATTTATTTTGTGCCATGTTCTGACTCTTAAGTCGTTCAATCATGTTTTTTCTATTCATATTTCTGGGTAATCTGAGGGTATCTCCATCTGCCATTCCAGAAAATTGCCTTCCCCAGGCTTCTGTTAGAACAAGAAATTGTCCAGCCCCTTGTGACTCAAAATGCGGCCCAGGAAACAGCAGCCTCAGTATTACCTGGGAGCTAGCAAGGACCGTGGAATTTCAGGCCTGGTCAGAATCTGCATTCTAACAGGACCCCAAGTGATCTGTATACACAGTGAAATAGGGGAAGTACTGGTCTCTAAGATAACCAAATTCATCATCAGTCTTTACATCCAAACATACAGCTGCCTAATGAAGAACCATCAACTTAGCCTGTCTCTCAGATGCTACCTTTTGAGTATTCCTTAGGCTAATATTTGAGCTGCTCACATTTACTGGATGAATAAAAGGGCTGTCAAACGTCTTTTCTTTTTCTTGTCATGTGCTGCCCAGCTGCAGGAAAGGAATATGCATATTTTAGAATCAAAAGCAGAAAAGCAACATCTGGTTTGAAAGATCTGCTAGATCTGAAGTCCTTCTGTTCTGAAAGTCTTTTTCGTGTTTATTAGGGTGAGGGGAAAAAAAAGCTCCCCCCAAAATTATTTTCCATGAAGTCATAAGAAAGATTCATAGCCCATGAAGTTTTAAAAACTCATGAAATAAAGATAAAACACATTTCTGAGGCGTGAAACTTTTGGTGAAGTTTCTGTCTTCATTTTTTAAAACACGGAGCTCTAGACGACAGAATAAGGGTTGATTACAAACAACTTGTCCTCTAAACAGGACACAGACTTATGCCAAAGACTTGTATTGTTACTGCCTTAAGCACAGACCAGAGTTTTATTCACTTCCTCCACATGTTTTTATCAACACCACCGAGGACCATGCTTTGTTCTCCCTGCCCACACCCCACCCTGTGTACAAGAGCCCTTTAAAAACTGTACACAACCATGTACTGCAGCCTATCCTCTTATTCATAAAATATTGCTGCTGACAAAGTTCTAAAGGCAAATCACACCTACCTTCAAACAAATCAAAAAAGTGCACAAGGCCCACCGGTGCTCCTGTACCTGCAAATGGCCTAACTTTCTCACTAGGATGTCAGTGATTCAGTCCCAGAATAAGGGCCTGATACCATTGTGCAGGTGCAGTCATTAAAGGCCCACCTCCTCTAGGAAGCACAACCACCTGCTGGAAAGGCTTCGCTTTCCATTACAGACACAGGGCTGACTTTAGGACGTTCAATCAGGTGTTCCTCATGCTCCAAGCAACCCCACCTGTGTCCCAAGATTACCTTTCAACTGAAAAGCTTTTAAACTGGGATAGCTGTCACCTTTGGGAGCCACTCAGCTAGACAAAGCGACTAACATTCTTGGGTTTGAGCAAATCCCAAAACAGAATCTTACCAAAGATTACTTCTTTTTATTGCAAATCTATCACTGATTTCTTCCCTGTAACCACTGATGCAAGCAGCCAAAAGGGCTTCCAACTCAAGGCCCTGCCTATCTTCCTAGAGTCTGCCACAGCACAGCACCCCCACCCAGCCACCTCCTTCCCCAGGCCACAAAGAAAAGTATCTTTTATCCTCTTCAAAGAAAAACTAATGGGAGAAAACGTATCCACAATCCATTTGACTTCAAGAATCCATTTACTGGTAATCTTAAAATGTTTAATTCCCAGTGCCTTTACTGCAACAGTAAAATAAATTCCCAATCAAGGATAACTAAAGGCCTCTCTTCATTTGAATAAAAACATTTCTACTGAATTAGGCACATTGAAATGATCAAGTGCTGAAGCAGAGAACCTTCCCCCTGCCCCCCGCTCAGAGCCCACTCACTTCTTCCATTCTCTGCAGCGTAGAGGTTGGCATGGGCAAATTTATGGTACATTAGTTCCTTTCGGCTTTCTCCTGAAGTTGGCTCAGATTCTGTTAATGCTGAAATTTGCAGCTGACTTGAATTGGACTTTATTTCTCATTAATGAGTTGATACTGCAGTGGGGAGATGTTTCAGCATTCACTCCTCCAGCTTGCTCAAGCAGGAACCAAAAGCTGAACAAGATCTTCCTCTT